AAAGAAAGAAAGACAAACAGCTGTGCTAATCCCTGTGCTTGTTTGATCTTGTTCAGAGGCTCCCAAGCTCCCATGGCAGGGCACGGTTTTGTTTCAGGAGGGTGGTGCCTACTGAGGGCACGTCCATGTGATTTTTGTATTTGTACATTAAACATTTCCCCAAGATGTAATTCCTTCCCTCCTGCACTCAGAATAAAGAGACTTTACGAGCCGAGCTGCCTCCAGAAATGGAGCACAGCAGGGCTGTTGGGGCAAGATAGGGCAGATGGAAATGTGTCTGAGCTGGCTGCTCCACCCAGCCTCTCATCTTTAGAGAAAAAAAATTTAAAAAAAAAATTAAAAAAAAGCACCATAAATGTTTCCAATAAGCGAGAGAGGCCAGGTCTGATGAGCACAGACGGTCTGCAGGCATCTGCCCAAGGAGCTGACGCTTGGCTGGTACATCCTCCTCTGATTTATGGTGTGTGTGTGTGTGTGTGTGTGTCTTAAGCCTTAAATTGTTGAGTCTCTGGCTGGCTGCAGTGGCATTACAGGAGGCTTGGAGGGTGTTTGAGCTCCCTGAGCTGGCACTGATAGCAGCTCTGGCACCGAGTCAATCCCAATCTCACACCTGTCTGAGACAATGGGGGCCTTGTTGCACCCATCCCCACCAAAGGCCGGCATCCCCTGCTGCTCCTTCACGTTGGAAGGAGGGGAAAAAAATAAAGGGAGGATTGAGGGAACTCTGTCTCCTCACAGGGCACGCTGGGGTGGGACATATCCCTCTTTTCTGGGTGGGAAAATATATTTACAGAAGGGAGGGATGGAGGGAGATTATTTACAAGGAATGGAGGGACAAAGGGGAACAGCTTCAGACTGAGAGTAGCTTTAAATTCAATATCAGAAATTTGCCTTGGCTCTTCATCCTTGCCCTCGTGGTCTCCCTTCAGCCACTCTTTGTCCTCCAGTTCTGCAGCACTGATGTCTCAGAGGTGCTGGAATGGTTCAGAAACTTTTCCTGCCCTTTCTGTTTTGTCATTCCTGGTGCTGGGCTGCTGACAGGTGGTGCCCACCTGTCCTGGGCAGGGTTTTCCATTGAATCTGCTCATGTAGGGACACTGGGGAAGGGACTGGAGCCCCAGGAGGGGCTGAGGCAACTGGGAAAGAGGTTCAGCTGTAAATTTTTTTTTTAAATTTTACTAGGTTGGATATTTATGATGAATTTTTGTTGGTTTTTATATATATATATAATTTTTTGAGCGTATTTTGAGGTAGGATTGTTGTTTGATTTATTGGTTTATTGATGGGAGGACTCTGTTAATTGATTTAACGTGAGGTTTTTGTGTGGATTTTTAATATAAGATTCTATTAAATTAAAC